ATTAAATAAACCACCGCTTTAGCACCATAACAGAAACCAATTACCTAAAACAAAATAATAATAAAAATTACTCATATAGTTAAAGAAGAATTGCCATTTTACTTGAATTGATTGATAATGTCCTTTAATAGTTGAAATGAATTTATCTGCAATTGCACATGTCTCAGTTGTGGGATGTCTTTTTATCCAATCAGGCATCATATCACGATAATTGGGTAAATTAGGATTTACTGGATCTCCATGAAAATAATCAGGAATAAGAACTGTCGCACTAGTTTCTTCAGAAAAACGATCAGCTATTTTTCGAATATTGATGAAAGAATAACCAAAAATATCAGTAAATATAACAATAGCTGATTTGCTTTGACCTGTTATATAAGTATTTATTCCTGCTATTTCTTCTTCATGACCTTGAGATAAATGAGTTTGTTTTGCACCAGGATCAACACAACTTGAACTAAGCATTTTGCTACACAAAATAATCTTTAAGATGAAGAAAAATAAAAATTATTTTATGTTATTTTATATCTCTTCTATAAAATGTAACACCTTGATTACATATTTACTTATTTATCTTATCATTCGTTTTTTTGTCGACCAATAATTTTTGAAAACATCTAGATGACGTTCGTCATCCGCATGGAATAATACGATTCTAATCGAATTTTCTTCAGATATATTCAAGATGAACTCCTAATCATTTGTATTAAATTGATTCTCAATTTTTAATATTTTGCTATTTAAGATCCAAAGCAACTGTACAATGTGAAAGTTAAAAGATAAAATGATGTAACTTCGAAAACAACAACAAAATCCGATTTATTTGATTTACTTTCATATAATTTCATTTCACATTTTCTATGACTTGAAAATTTGTCTACAAGTCATATATGTCCCTAGGAAATAGTTTACATTTGAATTTTAATTTATTCGTTCGTAATTAAAATTAAGCTAATATAGACCAACACATGTTTTTTTTTAACATTAATAATTTAAAATGACTATTTTTACTTATAGTACAAAAGAATAAAGAAGTTTGATTATTTTTCATGATTAACTGGAAACAAAAATACATCTATTCATCGATTCTTTCTCATTTTTTTAATAATTGTAATAGAAAAACAAAACTGGTCCAAAATCGAGTGTCCAGTCAATCTTGAAACAATCTTTATAAAATATTGTAGACTCTCCGATATTCCCTGTATATTCGAAGTTAAAGAAAATAACTTCATCACCGTGTTTGAAGCAATTTTTTTTGCAAAATTTAAATTTTCACATAGAGTATTCGAGAATATTCACTGAACAATTTGCTTTTTTTTTCAAAGTTCATCATTTTTCAATATTTCAAATTATAACAATAGCATGTACCATGTCCAAATAACGATAAAAATATCAAATTTTCATTTTTTACGAATAGGTCATCACAGAAAGCAGTTTGTGCTAATGACTCGATTGTCCTGAAAGATATATCCGAATCCTAGTTTGTATATAGAAGACATTCAGTTTATAAAGAATGCGAAGCAAAGTTTGATCACACCAAACAAAAATAAACAACGCAGAAGTGTCGGAAAACACCGATAATAGTAACGACACTTCATACATTTTTAGAACATCATATTGAAGAGAATCGTGTCAAACTAGAGAAATATAAACTTGAATTTTTGAGCTCATGAGATTATTCTAAGAATTTGACTACTTCTTGAAATCGTAAAATGAAAATGGTGAGTGTACTTGCTTAAAATAGTTAAAAGTTAGAATACATTGTTAGTATATGATCTTGCTAAGGATTTTACTTATATGTATAAAATAACAAAAATAAAATTCAGTTTACACATATCCTTAAGGATGTCCGATAGATAATCATCTTAAAAATTGTGACTTTTATTTATTTTTTGTTTGTTTCTGGTATGTGTAAGCTCTAACTTACGTGAAGACAATTGATATAATCAAATTCATGACTGATTGCTATTTTTTTCCAGCCGTTTCTAATGCTCATCAGATGACTATGGAAGCTATTTCTACTTCAATCAATATTCTCTTGTTAGAAGAATCTTTTGTTGATTGGTTTGAACATTTTTTTTGTCTATTCCTTTTCTGTTGGCGACTTTCTTCTCTCTGTTCTTCTTCTTTCGATAAGTAAATCAATTGTTTTACGACGTATGAGTCTTTTGCTATTTTAAAACATTTCATTCGACATGACATTAATCCTTTTCTCCATCTCGATTACGCAGATGAGAATATTCCTGGTAGCTGTTTGTCGTATGCATACTTTTTATTTTATTTTTTTTTTCATTATTCTCTACTATCTCCCTTTCGATTCACTCCGATAAGTACAACTAATATCGTCCTTCGTTTCTTCATATCTACCATCGTTACATTCGTTCTGCATGTATTTCTCTTCTCCTATTGCATAGACAGCATATCAATTTATCACTTTTTGTTGCTTCCATTTATTCAAGTTGTCAATCTTTTTTTTGGTTCTTTCACTTTTCGATCATCAGATAATGAAGATTCTTAGTGTAATCTGTCTGTCATATCAATGGTCTTTTTGTATTCATTATTGGCTTCCGCTTACGTTTTTTCTCATGTTGTTCTTCTATGAAATCAACACGTGCAGTAGCTTCCTTTTCTCGCTCACTGTTCACAATATTTTTCTGATCGTATTCCAATTGTAATTTTTAGCGAACGTATTGCATCATTTTCAGACTTTAATGTACATATTCGACATTTATTATTTGAAAGTGATTATTAATTTATCTCATTTAGAATATTTAGATGTGTTAATATATGAAAAAAATAATATCATCAAGAGAATTATTAGAAATATTAAAAGAATCATCAAAATTATCATGTATTACAATCAATTCAACTAATTTAATATCATCATTCAATAATGATGAAATATGCAAGTATTTAAAAAAAGTAATGACAAAATTACATATAGATAAACAGTTTAATCTCTCATTCAATAATCTTAATAAATCACCGAAATTTTATGAAATTTTTTCAAATATTGAACAACTTATATATTATGTTATCGAACCAAGTCATCTGTTACTTTTATTAAATCAATTAACAAAATTATCAATTATAAAGATTTATTTACTGGCATTAGAACAAGAATCAGTTAGATTAAACTTTATATTTCATGCCCAAGGTATTGATGTAAGTGTTCCAGAACTATCTATATGGATTGATAAAAATGAATTCATTATCTATAAGATTTCTTAATAATATTGTTTTTATTTTTCGACACAAAATAAAATCAATATTTTGTTTTTTTGTTCAAAAGTGATTCTCTACATTTCTAAATCAATTTTGCAATGAACATTGATCCATTTATATAATGAATAAAAACTCGTCTTTCATTTTCTTTCACTTGAAATGATTGTTATTACAAACAAAGAGTTTCCAATATTAATTTTCGTTTACAAAAGTCCGTTTACCTAACACTAGAGGATTTTATATTATATAACTGAACATATTCGAGTCAAAATAACAAATTTAAAATATGATCTAAATATCGTGCACCTGTATTATCGTAAATCTCAAACACACTTGTACTTACTATCAGTATGAATGGATAAGAATACTTGGTAATATTCTCGTGACAACCATCGTCACTCTCACTCGCAAGACACCCTCAATCTTATTTTATTTTGATAATAAATCTTGACATAAAAGTAGCTTGAGAAAATATGATAACTATATTATGATAAATATTAACTCAATAGAAGATTCTGGTGCATCTTTCTTCACAGAAATAATCTTTGACATCAGTAAACGTGTTTCACTAACGAAAAAAAAATTTTTATGCTCAAGTTTTAGAAAAAAATATGGACAACCTCAAAAAACGTTCATATCGATCGGTAAGGAATTCTCTATCGATTCGAACTCAAGTGTTTACGATTTTACCTGACAACTTTCAATTAATCGAAATATTTAATTGCTCTTTCAATATCAGCAAATTTTTCAGCTTGAATTTTTGAATTGCATGTTAGACACAAGTAACCATGCAATCAAAGATAATTGCTTCGACATTCGCTGGGATTACTTAAATATGCCTCGGCTTTAAAAAATAAGTATTTTGCCTTGCACATAACCGCAAGCAATCGAACAAATACGTAAATACACTCACTACTGTAGTCGAACTTTGGCTATATCAGTGGTTAGAAAACTCCTTTCTAGTCGCATTTCACTGCGTTAAAGTATCATTATCGTGTGTGTACGTGCGTATCTAGGCGCTGAAGTCAATTAAAAACCGTATAAACATGCAAAGTTTCAAAAAATAAAAATTTTCTCTCAGTGCGAACAGGTTGAGATGATGATGTGGAAGACGATGACGATGCAACAGCAGCAGGATGACCATTCGGTATAGCTCTAAGACAATTCAGTATTGGAGTTGAACGTGCTGATAAAGCTAAGCTACTACCAGTAAATTCTTTTACGAACTCCTTGTCAATGTCATTCCATTCTTTTGTTTGTTTTTCTGTAAAAAGTACTCTTACACATACATTTCGAACACCCGATCTTGTTCATTACGATTTCCAGGCGTTACATTAGATATAGCAAGGAGTATTCTATTCAGAACATCTGGTCAAATCTTTCCGCGTTCCCTGCTTTTCTATTATGATTTTCCGTACAAAAATGTTTACGAACTACCTACATAAATCTGTAAGGACAAAAATCCATTTAGTTTTTGGTAGATATTGGATTTAATAAATAGTATAAATGAAAATTTCTATTCCAACTTTTAAATAACAATAATAGCACTGTGACCTTCGTTTTTTATCCTGTCACAGCAGTGACAGATTTTCAGCTATAGAAACATCTCTGTTCCATCAGAAGTCGACTTCCAAACGACTGCTTCAAACATACTACAAAAGCATGACTTTATAATGCTGTATAAAATTGAAGAATTCTAATTAGATACGGAAACATGCAAGTATATACATTTTCCCATGGCATGTCATTGTCTGATGTCTCATATCATAATTGTTATTTACCGTTGATAGCTGTGGTAAAAAATTGCCTTCCTTTGCTACAGATTGCGATAATGCAGTGCAGACATTTTGAAAAACACTATTCCGTTAGCAATAGTTGAAAAAAGCATACAATATAAATAAAAAAGACTAAAATTTGATCTAGAGCAATCAATAACTTTATATTAGGAGGATATCTTAAACTTATTCAATTGGTATCTAGTGGATAAGCATACGATGAGCGTTTTGTTTGCCGAAGACAACGTTCTGTTATCATACTACATGTTAATATGTTGATCGTTTCAGATTTCATGTAACGTATGTCGATGAGCTAGCTTTCTTGCAGGTGATTGATACGCTCATGCCAAGCAGCTCACTGTTACCTGGAAGAGTTATCATTACATGTGTGCCACTTTGTGAGCCCCAACGCATGTCACGACTACATTCTTCAGTGGTAACACTATCTCGGTTGACACTGATAGTGAGAATTCCTTCTGCAAGTGTTGGATGTGATGCGGTAATAGTGAAATTATCAGAATCCTCGCTATACAGAAACGCCCCTGCTTGTTCTAGGTAAAAACTTAGCGACAAATCACTGCAGTTGTAATAAGCACCACCACCGGTAGTCGAAGCATCATTGAACAGCAAAACAGATGCTCGCTGAGCGAATGGATCACAACTGCCATGTAGGTGTAGCGTGGCATCATCGTTTTGCGACTGTTTTAGTGTATATGCGCTATTGGCCCATGATATATACTGATTCCAGAGCGCTGGTACTGCATCAACTGTTACATTGGGTATTATCGTGTATTTGTAACTTAGCGGCTCAGTTGTAGGTCCCCTACCATGAACAATGGCGGCGGTGAGTAAACGTCCCTGTATTTCAAAATCCCATGGACCAAACTGATTGACATTGCCAGATTTGTTACGACAGTCAATTATTAGTGCGGCATAGTCATTCAGCACAATCCATGCAGTACTATCAGTATGAAACCACAACAGACGTGGTTCGGAAGACGGAAATGAGTACACCCCATCGGCTAACATCGCCCTAGTTCCATTGCTCCATTGCACAATTAGTGCTCCTGTTGTTGTGTTCGCTGGTGGTAGTAGCCTGCTTACAATGGTCGTCTGAAGCAGAGCACTAGTGTTATCCTGAATATCATCAGCTAAGGCTACGATGAAGTCATCATAAAAATGCCATGTTCGTTTAGCTGTAAGATTGTGTGTAGCAGTATCCATCATCGCTGCACCATAGTGCCCATCACTGACACCACCAACGAAAGTCGTGTTTAGAACAGAGAAGTGAGAATGACACGGTAGTAGAGGTATGTCGGCTTCTACGGTTATACCGTTGATCGCTTGCCAATCAAGCAAGGCAAAAATATTCTCATACTCCTCACCACTTCCGTATTGAGCATCACGAGTGTACAGATTAAGTACACCATCACCTATATGTTCACCTTTCAAATTTTCACCATTTAAACATTCAGTAGCAATTGTGCGTACGGAATGCATCTTCAATGCAGCGATCCAGGTAGCTCTACGATGTACTTGAAAATCACTTGTATAGAAATGTCGATTTCCCACTAGTGGTGGTGCCTCATGACGATGTTCAAGTCGATCGGCATATTCACGTAATGCTACAGCAGTGGAAGTGTTCGTAACATCGGTTGCTAATACTTGCAGTCGATCTGGTAAAAACAGATGAGTGTACCATACACCCACACCACGATCGATGACGCGACCGAGAATACCCCATGTCCATACACTTCCCATGGTAAACCATGCGTCACCTTGTGTCAAGAAGCGACCAAATGTCTCAACACGATCTTTCTGCAGTGCGTATTGTGTGCCACGTGTAGCGAGATAAAAATGTAAAATATTCGTCGCCCAAGCATCGCCGTACGAGGCTGAGAGCAGTTGCTGACCATGATAATGATAGGACCAATCTGTCTGAATACCTATCGTCGATAGATTTTGTACTTGTACTGTCTGCCACATGAGATCAAAGCCTTGTGCAACGGCCGAGTAGTTAGATGTAGCGAGTCCACGGAGTAGCTGCACTTGTAACATCCAAACTAGGTTAGCGCCACCGCTATGATCATTAATCCACCAGTTGGCACGATATGACATGATGGTAATAGCACTTACTTCTTTCGTGCTCAATCGTTCTACGCCCATCATCAGCATAATACCTGAGGCAAGCAGCGGATCTTGTATGACATTCCACCACCAGTTTGGATTCTGCCAATCTTGTTCTAGCCATACTTTGAGTGCACAGTGAATGGCAGATGAGAGTTCTGTGTCATTGGTCCTTCCACCCGGAACAGTTAATGCCGCTGTCATAGTAAAGATGCGAAACATATGCAAAACTGGATCCCATTTTTCTGGTCCGCGAGTTGTGTAGTTCAGATCAGGCCATTGACAGGTGGTCCTATCGAGAGTACTCAAATTACCAGCTGCTTGTGCGAGAATAGCGGGAAGCTGATCAGGTGTGGGCCATAACATGATCTTGCGGATGTTCTCCCGTACAATAGCGAAATCATCTTGTGTTGTTGCTGTGATAGTAACGATTGTTATAAGTATCACAAAAAACTGCATAGATCGTCTTTTGCTTGAACTGCCATGAAACTGCAGTACATTTCTGATTGTTGTGATCATTTGTTTTGTCTTTAGCTCAAACAAGAAAGAGACAACACATTTTTAGTTACGTCAAGATTTTGAGTAGGAATGACTAGGTATGATAGATAGCTTAGTTTTGTCATATTGACTTGCTTACTTCAAAAGGCTGTAAAAGAACAAGCCTTCATCGATGAAACAAGAAATGAATGATACTTGGGAGCAGGGACGGCGGAGCACTTTGAAATGTGGGCAATTTACTACAGTTGTTATCACGCAAAATACTGCGTTATCTCATTATTCGGTTTAGTGAAGAAACGTTAAAACTCATCAAAATCACATAAGTTTTAAGTGCAACAATAGTTTATTCAAATATTTTTTTATTGGGAATAACGCAGAATGCCAGGATTTGAACCTGATAGGTGAATTAACTGATTTTGAAGATGATTTTGGTTAATCTATAATTTCAAACTTATCGAACTTTCCATGAGACTTTGCAACATTTTTGTGTTCATGATGAAGTTTGATGAATTATTGAGATCCAGCAATATTATTGCGTGAATATAAGAATCAAATTGAGCATAGGAACTATTTCAATATTCTCATTAGTAAAGTCTGTCCTTGTTGATTTAACCATTTTAAGTAAATCGGTAAAAAAATGATGTATAAATGACCTGTACAGGTACAAATTTCAACTAGTAAAAAAAACGATCCCATTCATATTGAATCAACTCATTTACTTTCTATGTAAATGCTTATCAATGTAGTTCCTCTTCGACTGATTCTGTAAAACAAAAACACGTTTTTTTTAGAGGATTTGCTAATTTTCGCATTTTTTTCTAAAATTCTTCTTAACAGACTTCAAATATTTTTAATTCTCATGAGATGACAGTGACCGATGGAATACAGACAATAAATGAAACAGATCGACTTCTAAATTACGCTTCATATTTCCAAGATTATTAAAACATAAGTAATTTATCACTAGTGTAAGATTATCAGTGATTCAGAAGTTTTTATAGAAAGACACAAAATCTGTCTGTTCTTTCATGTATACAAAACATAAGATGAAAAGTATAAACCAATGAACTTTATCGCATTCGGCTAAAAGGCATAAAAATTGACAACTAATAGAATGGATTATTCAGCTTTAAGCTGAAGTCAACTACGGAGATTAGTGCTTTTATTAAAGACGAAAGTGCACAATGTTTTCTTTGTTTTTGATAGAAGAGAAATTAGACTACACTATAGACCAGTAAGATATAATGGACTTATAATTATTTAAAATGATAACATTAATACAGATCAGTAGAATATAGTTTAGTATAGACTATTGAATCCACCTAGGAAAGAAAATGTATGTATTACGATGCATAAATTACATGAATTCTCTATTTTCCAGAAAAACCGAGTTAACCAGATCTCTTCAATAAAGTTTTAAACATCGAAGATGCATATTTATTCAGGAATATGATGTCAATGATAATAATAAGTTCGAAAAGCATTAAATTAGTACTTTATAATTTGACTAACTTTGTCTAATACAGCCAATTCTGGTAAGGCTCAAGCCTATCAAGCCTATACATTCCACCGCCTATGCTTGAGAGGAAGAGAATATTATCCAATAAGAAAAGATAGATGAAAACAAGGAGATCTTGTTCTTGAACATCAAGACATAAACATCAGCAAGTAGAAGAGAAAAAGAGAACAAATTTTTCTGGTAATTTGCGAAACACTTTATCTTCTATATAACGAGGAAAATATTTTTAGCAATGGAAGAAAATTAATTATAGTGAAATTTGGAGAGATTCTTACAAAATGATAGAAGAATTATCATATTAGTCTTGTGTATGAACTTATTTCAACAATACTTACTTGATTCTACAGTAAACCAAATGTTTCTTATCTTCACCGCTCTATTCTTTCTTTTCGTAATATCAACAAACCTAACAATATCTTATCAGCGCATACATGCACACCGTCAATACATAACCATACGAAGTCACTTCTGATATCACGTAACTAGACGTGCGCCAAATCTAACCGGTTTGGGAGTTTGAGTTCCTCTCAATACTAAGCCTAATCATATAATTTTTTTGAGATTAGGCCTATGTTTATTTACTTTATTTTCTTCTTACACTCGCTCCTCACCTATGACTACTATACAAAGTATCATTTAGCATTAGCAGAGTGTGGGGTGCGGGTTTGGATCTTTTCTTCAATGACACTTACACCCACACTCACAGTCTGTCTTCGATGGTTTCACTTCAATAGGGTTTCCCATGAGAATATTAGCAAAGAAAATCCCAGGTTCATATTTTGTTTTACTGTTAATACAACATTATCCGATGTGACCATTGGAGCAAATACGCGGATTCCGTGTTTAGCGTGGAAATCATCGAGTACATCAGATCTTCTAGTCGAACTTTAAGATCAGATCAGATTTGCACATAGATACAGACCAATATCATATTTTATAATCTTTCAACCTAGAGCCGAGTGAATCGACGTCCGATGAACGCTAATTGTGATCTTTTCTCAATAACTCTTTCATACTTACTGAGTCATATTTATGTGAATATCCTTCAATACCTATGTCACCAATGTCAATACCATTCGATCCGGATGGTATTGGTATGAATAATATAGGTATTGTGATATTCCTAGGACGCGAATCTCTCCTCTGTGCATGTGAGACACCGAAAATCTCTTTTCAAATTTGATCTTCGATGAAATTCTTTTTTCGGCAAGACAGCTTCAAATATGAAATCGCTTTGCATGTATTTAGAAGAACACAATGATAGTAGACACTATTACACTACCAAAGATATGGATACAGTATATAGGGCACATCTTGCTTGTACTGCTTCCAACCATCTCTGTATTTTTCGCCGCAGTGTGCGTCCAAACTTGGAACTGCTCGTGCTGTAAAATCCCAGATTTGAAAGAGAAATAGCGCGATTGCCAAGAAGTAGTTGCCACTGGTCAGAAGCAGTCCTGTACGCCACACAGCATATGACCCATAGTTAATGTGACGTGCGAGAGAAAATAGTCCTCCCCTATAATTACGTCCTTTGTTAGCGGGATTATCTTTAAAACGTTTACGCTGAAGTTCGGAGATGAGTTCTGTCGATATACCCACAAGAAAGAGGCTGATGCCAATACATTGAGTCGTAATGGAAGGGAAAAAGTAGAGACTGGACAGAGTCGCCAAAGAGTTGAATATGTTGGCGGAGGTTGGTGCAATAATGGCAATAAAAAGACCGATTTTCTCTTCCATAATGTAAGACACATTAATAATCTGTTTGATAGCAGAAACTGATGTCATGAAAAGAAAGAGAAAGATTGTTCCATGGTCGGGAGGATGAGTGGCTAGTCCGAATTTGGAAATAATCTGTTGCCCGTAAGTTGTCAGTAGCAAATATTGAATGTACGGATCGATTGACCGAAGCAGAGAAAAGATTATCCGGTAAACGGGTGAAGAACCTTTATTTGAACGATCGAGAAAATCAAGCGGTTTTTTGTTGGACATGGTTAATGAAGAATGAAAAATGGACGTTTTTGATCTACAACAAATACATATCGTTCGTCTAGTTGACAAACGTTGACATTGTATTTTACATATATCAAAGTACAATAAAGAAGAATCTAAGTAAAAGCGTTGTTCAAAAGGGTAGAACGTGAGATATGACAAGACTCGAAACGATGAGGGAAGTGTGAGCCATGTCGAGAATGAATTGTATTAGGACCGAGACCTTTTTCTGTCTAACCAGTTATCATCGCAAAACAACTAGTCAGGCCTTTCAACATTTCAACCCAATAAATGTAAAACGGCTTGTCCACGTAAGAGGCGAGACTATCCTGATCAAATTTGAAAATTGTTTTTTTTTCGATTTGGATACGTCTGGACAGTTCATTAGAGGTAGACTTTAACGCTGATTACGAATTTAACATTTATTTTGTAAGAAAATCCGATTTTAGCATCGAAAATCGGGTTTTAAACTTTTCAAAAATTATATTTTGAATTTTTTAAATAGAAAAGCTTTTCGAAAAATGTTGAGTGTTATGGCACTCGACGCAGAATTAAATTCTCTACAAAAGGGTCTATTTAGTTTTCATTTGTGTAGTTCAAGACAACTTGTAAACCCTTTTACCGTTTAAAAATTACTCTTGAGCTGAAGAGGTTCCATGTTAAGATATCGATTTCATCTTTGTATAGTACAATTAGATACACATGGAAGGCTAACATTGCAAAAGATAAACTGTTTCTGAGCATGTTAAGTTCTTCAAAAACAGCTCGCCAAGAACTCTTTGTGAGAGATTGAGACTTTAAGCAAAAACTATCATTTTTATGTCATGAACAGAGCAGAGTGAGCTGCGTCGAATAGCGTTAAAACGAACTCTCTAGCTCTGACAGTTTGCCAGATAAGTGAAAAAGTGTAAAAAACGTCACAGCGTTACATTTGGGCAAGCCGAAAACCAATCAGCAGAGAAATTTAATAGCTTCCATCGAAGGAGCTTACAAGTCATACAGTGTGTTACAAATTTACTGAAACAGTGAGTGGTGCATCATCGTTGTGTAGCTTTACATTAGAGCTAGTTGCGCTCAATACAACAACTCTAGACAACTCTTCTTCGAGAAGATATCGAGTTAATACTGAATAATTCTACAAAACTATTGAAATACTTAACGTCTTTTTGGTTCACCATCTATATGATTAAACAAAACCTAGATAATCTTGCATTATCTGAAAGAGAAAAATATTCTCCTCTTTTCACTTAAAGAACTATTCAAGGAATATAACACCACCTAACAATCAGGGAAAAATGTGATTGAATATGTTTTTTGCACCTTTTAAGTATTGACCTTGTAATTTTGGTTAGGGCTGGCCCGAAGTGTCAATTATTGGAGGGTCGAAGATTTTTAAAATTTTTTAGGAAAATTTTCCAAAAATTTGGTGAATTATTAGGCAAAAGAAAACGAAATTTCCGAATATTAAGGGATTACTCTCCCCCTTGCTCGAACCAGCTCTGGTCTTGATAATCCCTAAAGTACGATAGTATTTGAAAATGCCAGTTGACCAAAAGAATTAGCGTTCGAAACTCTACAACACTGTTAAAGTTTGAGACCGAGCTGAGAAGGTCATGTAAAATTCTGAAGAAGTTCTATGGAAATATCCCCTTGGTAAATTAGTGCTTTTGTATACCACTGTTGTGATTCAAAGTTTAAAAAGACAGGAAGTCAGTTAAACTATTGAACAAAAATCACACATCCCGGTTTGGGTCTTTTATTTGTGTTCCAAGTTCCAGCACGATAGAACGAGTCGCCGATCTTCTACGGCGCACATGATAGGATTCGTGCTTTGATTACTTGCCCCATCTATATCACTATAAAGATGATTTCTGAGAATATATTGGTTGGAACACATTTCCATCTATTACCCAGGATATATTTGCACTGTAAGTTTCCAGTCTCTTCGATTCGTTATTCTCAAGAAATCCGGGGAAGAAGGGATGCTGTCAACTCGATCTTGGAACGAAGTCGTCATAGAGCTAACATCTTGGGTGTAACTAACTGTCACCAAACACACGCAGCCATGGAATCACAATTAAAATAATCTAATTCACTTACCATACACAATCACAACAACTTGCAACGCTCACTATTCCAGTAATTTCATGGCATATTGTAACTAAATTTTAATAATCCTTACCGTTCTCTAATAGAATAGAAAGAAAGCAAAAGTGTTCGCACATCAGACACGATCCTCTAGCAATAAATACTGTCTTCGATAGTGTTTGTTTGCTTGTTCTCTCGTCACTATCCTCTTGTACGAACAGAAAGAACAAAATCTTCAATGGTGCATGGTTACCAAATAGAACAGCAAGAAAGTGTTAGCGTCAATAGATGTCACTCTTTGCCGGTAACTCATTCCTATAGGATTGATATTTCTTTTCTGTTTGACGTCCTTTGTTTTCTTTTCTTGTTGATCATCGTTTGCGGATGATGATCACCATGTCTTTTTTTTCAGTTCGTTTTTCTCTTCTTCGTTTTGATTTCGTGCGTCGTTGTTTTTCTTTGAGTTATGCATTTGATCTTTCCCGTCTCTTCTTGATTTGTACATTGATTGTTCGTTTTATTTCTTTGAAATAAAATATTAGTTCTTGTTCTTCTGATCATCCTGATTTTGCCCATACATCCGCAAGGTACGCTAGGCTATTTTTCACGAGAGTTTTCAGTACAGTAAGGGTGAGGGTGTGGGGTGAGTAGAACAACCATAGTATTAATATCTCACCTGAGCAACCACAATCATCAGATGGTACTCGTTTCAGTTCAACAGAGAGCAGAATCATAACAGAATTAATTCTATACGGTGACGGTGAGAGTGAGTCTGTTAAATATATTGTTGAATTCCAAGCTACTTATGATGATCATTTCGACTGTGCCTAAGGATCGTCATCAGGTAAATTTGGAATTAAAAATTCTGCATAGAAAATTTCATCTCAAATCAATAGAAAGTTATAAGAGTCATCATCAGTAGACGAAAATTCTCAGCATCAATCGAATATTGAGATCTTCTAAAGTGTGAACCTAACGAAAAACAGATCGACCTGCATCTTCTATCTATCTGCTTATCCTAACTCTTGCTTTTCAGCGATCGATTTCTTGTTGAAAATAAATTAATTTGAATATTTTATGCTTGAAAAATAAAAAGATAATGCAGACTTCGTTGTCGCTGACGCGTTTCGACTATTGATCAGATAGGCGTCATTAGGTATGTTCAGAATTGTAAATGGAATCATCAATACAGCGTGAATTCGCGACTTTAGGCTTTGAGACTACTCAGAATGTATGAATCATCTGGATTACGAAACATTCTTTCAGTTGATAAAATGAAAAGTATTATATCTTAATGCATTAGGATTTCATAGGCATTGATTGAGAGTGTCAAACGTTGTTCTTTGTTGGAAAAGTGAAGGATAATGTATCGGTCTCGAATGCCAAAGGAATAGTCTAGTTGGTTTGAAAACTGATTTCGTTTGAAAGATAGAAAGACCAGAAAGAATAACCTCACGTTTAGATCACAAGCATTGCAGAGTCCTAAAGTGTTAGGAAAACGTTTTTTTATTAAGGATCGAAAAGATTCATTCGATTCAATAGAATCTTTTTTAATTTTCACGCTTACTGTTAGATTTCACAGACGATTTCCTGAAACAAGTAATATATTTAAATATTCGTTGAGTTTGTACTTGTTTGCTTGGAATCAATGTTTAGTTTTGTGATCGGCTTCATTCTGGTTAACATTTCTCGTGGTAGTCTTTTATGAATGAAGAAATTTTCGAGAGTGCAATTGGTGTTGACCACCAATCGGACTTGAACATTATGAACTAGTAATGTACAATCGGCGTATTATGTTTTCCAACATTTGTAAAATTGTGTAGGCAAATGAATCGAATGTTGACTATCAAATAAATAGCGTGGATGCATCATCTTTTGACTCCATATCTGTGGTTGTAGTACTATAGACGATACAATAGGCTCCTGCATCATATTATTCAATTGTTTTCACGTCGAGTCGGCTGTTTTAATGATGTTCGATGTAAACGATGATAATCGTGTTTGTTTGATTGTTTCAATATAGGAAGAGCATTATTCAAATGAAAGAATCGACAGAATTATGTCGATATGAAACTTAGTGAATATTCATTTAAAATTAACGATACATTGATATGAATACAATCAGAATTGAAATCATATGTACGTGAACAAATCCAAACAGCGCGTCGTAGAGCTGCATAAGGTATATTATGATGAATATATCGAGAATAATCAGATGTATAGGGTAAAATATAAGGTTCAGCAGCTCATTTCTGATGGATCGCTGTTTTTGACTGACCGCTCTCATACATAATACTGATATTCAGAGGGTGCGAGTGGATGCGGGTGTGCTGCGAACGAAAATATTTCGTTCAATCCCAATTGCAACTAGAATCATACTCACCCACTCACTCACACCCACACCCACGATCTTCAGATGTGACTCAATCAACATGTCGGACATTTTTAGACGAGCGAATGAGAGGTTTACACAGAGTGGGTTTTTTCCCAGTAATCATTGATGACGTCATCTTTTTCTTTCTCGCGATGAGTGGTAGGTTATTAACACTTTATAGGTTATTAACACTTTATTCCATCCTTCTCTGATGTAAAAGGTTGTTTTTTTCCCGAACAGAGGAAAATTTGCACACTGAATTTCTTTTGTACTCGGAATAACTCTTATTTTACCAGATGCTGATAAGGTAACTTCGATGTCGAACGAAACAAAGTCAATAATTTACTTCAATTTATAAAATGATATTTGTTTACATATTTCTCAAGATCAATAGTTACGTGTATCAATAACATTTCAAATCATTCAACATATTCTGATCAAACTTGATTATATCTAACTATTTGATGTTGAATAGTTGGGCAGGCGATCTTCTGGTTATTTTCTTTAAGAACAAGTTTATTGGTTGTCATTCATAGAGACGAAATTGAATCATCATACCATCAAGTAAATAGATTTGTTGATTTCTATTTCAGATTATTGTCGATTTGTTACACATGGCTTTTCTCAAACGCCTCTATCTTCATTATCTTGAACTGGAAAAAGATCCACCTCCGTTATGTCATGCTAAACCTGAAGATCCTGAAACGAATCTCACTCATTGGATTGGTCATATTGATGGGCCAGAACAAACACCATTTGCTGGTGGAAGATTTCAACTCAATATTGATTTTCCAGCTGATTTTCCATTTAAACCACCACAAATTCGTTTTATTACACCAATTTATCATCCAAATATTAGTACCAAAGGTGAAATATGTTTAGATATTCTTCATTCTCAATGGTCTCCGGCATTAAGTATTCGTGGTCTCTTAATATCATTATGTTCATTATTAACAGATCCTAATATTGAACATGGTTTGAATCGAGATGCATTGAAACTCTATCAAACAGATCAGCAAAAATATGAAGAAATAGCAAGAGAATGGACAAGAAAGTATGCTGCTCATCTGTCAAGCCTCAAGTGATCGAGATTCTCGAAAATATCAAAACGATTTTAGTGAACCGTTTTTTTTTGTTGTATAAGGAAGTTTTCCGATCATTGATTTAATGACACAAATTTTGTTGAAAACATTTATTCAGTTAACTTCGTATTTCTATGTAGTTTTCTTCATAGCAATTATCAAGAATTATTTGCTTTTGTTTAATCGAGAATATTTTCTATATTAAGAAAACGTCTATTCAATTCTGACATAGAGAAATGAGAGGAAAGATTGATCTAATATGAACAGATTCAGACATTTTGTTCAGTGTCGATGAAAATGATGCTAGCATCAAATGGTTGGTATGAACGAAATTTCAAGATCATTGAAAGTAATGATGAGAGAATTGTATTCGTTTATCATTTCAATTTCAATTATTCATCTTTTCCTCGAGATAATGTTTTGAAATATATGGCTGGTTTTCAGTACTTTGAAAATTTTGGGAAATAATAAAAATTATGAGCGTATTTATTGCATGGTATTATGTACTATCAGATTTCTTGATACCCTCATGCCACAGTACGTTCTATCAAAATCTCTTTCTGTAAATCCATGATGACGAAGAAAGGTTCCAGAGTATGGGTGTGGATGTGAATGTTCTCAGACCTGCACTCTCATTGTCAATGAGTAGGATTTTAAAAGACGTTCATATGTGGCAATATCTCCTGCAGATACATCAATCAGATCATCAAAAACTCGTCCATTCGAGCATAAACGGAGGAACTCTCTTGTCTGGTATTGATATAAACTATTTTGATAGCTGCAGTTTCCATTTGTGTCTTTCATTGATGAACTAGCTAGACAGATCAACATTGAAAAACGAAGACTGATGTCACGTGAATATATTCAATCAATATTGCCTTTCATCAACAAACATTATCATACGTCGATGATCAATTTAGGTTGGCAATCTATTGAAGGTTACGATCTTTAATTTAATAATTGGTCAAGCTTTCCGTTTTTCGATTGTGATTTTGGTCAAGGTGAAACGATAAATTTTATATTGTCTTCCATTAAATCCGATGATCTAATTTTAATTTTACCGACACCGAACAATGATGAAATTGAACTTTATATTTCTCTCAAATACGAACATGCACAATTTCTTTTGAATGAACTATTTTAAAATAAAAGACTGAAATTTTATTCAGTTAGCAATAAATTCTTCTAAAACTAAGACAGGATATCGTTCGAACAATATAGTAATAGACAAGGTTTTAGTTTACAGATTTTCAGCTTTGAATACATAAGACAACATTTTTATTAGTTCAAATGGCTTGTAGAATTGTAGCTATGATGAAACGATAGTTTTGTGATGATGAATCAAATGAGTGCTCCGAGAAAAATTCAATGAGAAAAGGAGAAGAAAATTCTCTGCCGCCTATATGTAGCAGAACAAAGCAAAACCTTGAAACTTTTTTTTCTCACACATTACGATTGTTCTATATCATGTACACGAGGCAGTAGACGCATCGATACATTAATTTTTGTTACAGCTTCACGAGTTCGTGTTGTATGTTCTTACATTGTTGTCAAATTTTTTCCTTGTAATTATTGCTTCTCATGCATTGTGGTAGAGAAAACACCGGTGATTCATAGTTCTATAGATAGAATAGCTTGTCAGTAGTGCATTATAAAATAGGTGACAGAAATAAGAAATGTTCATATAAATTTTATTCTCATTGCAATTGGCAGTAACATGTGGAAGGTGATTCGAGCCAAATTGTATAAATCTCGTGAAAAGAGAAAAGCAAAACAGTATAGCCAATATATCGATCGACGAATCCAACGCGATATGCAAGATAAAAAATACGAAATGAAATGTTACTTAGTCGGTATGTTGAACAATGTATTACAAAATATACATAAAAGAAACTGTATTGGTCGTTACGATTCTGACAAGTAAACTCTACTTCATCATATGAACATGATCTGTAATAGAATTCTGTCGACAGCAGAAGTGAGAGAGTATCTGAAGTGGATCTATGCAGAAGTGCTTCATTCGTTGATCGCCGTTATTCAAGAAATGAAAAGAAACACATGCCTAAAACTGAATTATTGGGCTTATTTCTCTCGTAAGTGTCTGATTTATATGCCAAACAATGATCTAAAGAAAAACTCTTATGTCGAATAGAAAATACCAAACCAGTCATTTTTATGAAAATTTACACAATGTCTCATAAATGTTTGTAAGATTAAAGATTTAAACATCCTCCACTATGTTTTAATCAAATTAACTATTTTTTGTGGCATAGTTTCAAATATTTATTCTAATCAAATCAGCTTTCATTCACTTACCTATTTATGGTGGGATATGTAGTGGCAAACTAAGTTTGTTATTGCACATATTTTTACTAATGAGCGCCTTGGTTTTTACTAATGGTAACCTGCATTTCTTTCGATTTTGAATTTTTTAAAAAAACTGATGGATTTTTATAGAATATGAAGGACGATCTCCATGGTAGAAGTGGATATCTATTACAGTGCTCTTATCAAGTCATTGGCACCTTGATGACACTCTTTTCGAATGAACTTATTGTTGTTATCCATATTCTCCTGGCATTCACTAGCATTGAATTGAACGTCAACAAATTTTGATTTTCAGTATCTATCAAATATTTGCATTATCATTAACCTAGTCATTCTCATTCCCTGTGATCATTAGTTGTCTAAAAAAAAGACATAAAGAAGCATACGAAAAATTTGGAATGATTCTGAAATCATGTTAGCAGCTGCAATGTTAATCTTCTCTATTTCTCAGTTCTCAACAATTTGTTACGGCAAACAAACGTGTCTAATGCTTTTAAGCATCCTTCACAAATAGCCAATGCATTAGAACAATTGTGATTTGATGCTGACGTTCAGTTTTGGCATAAACATCCCAATTACCAATTGAACAACTGTCATCACTTCTATTTAAAGAAATTACAAAAAATTCTGACTGCGAACTACGTACCATTGGAGCAAGATATTCTACATGTTAATAAGAACGCAATAGGATATATTACAGAAATTAAATGCAAGATAGAAACAGGTATGACTTGTTATTAATAGTTTCATAAGACGCAAACATTTTTCAAACAGAAACCATCATATGGCTCATCGATGCATATAAAAGACTAGGGCACATGCCCAGTCCTAGTAAACAGTAGTGCTATTTTGACGATGCAGCAGGAATCATTTTTATCGTCGATCTTTGTTGCTACGATCAAATAAGGAAAAAAACGAATTACATGTTCCAGTTTTTATCTGGTTTTTACTA